TTTTTTTTGGTACCGGGGATCGAACTTGGGACCTTGTGCTTATAAGGCAGGTGGTGGAACCACTGAGCTAAATCCCCAGCCCAGTTTTTAAGTTTTGAGGTTCATATGTTTAATGGATCAACATGGACTACTTGAGTGCTGATTTTTATTTAATAAGTGGTTTTCCTCCCCTGTTATTCTTCCCTCTAATTAGTTATGCTATAGCGCGAAAGGATATTAAAGAAGTAGACGTTCTCAATCTGCCGGAATCTGAGCTCTCCACTAAACCAGGTAAAATAAGAACAGTCCAATCCATTATCTCACCGTGTAGCTCTTTAAGGAATAGTGTAGCTATTTCAGGCCATTTTAATGGTATGAGGATGCTAACCACTCCTCTTTGATGGCAGGTTTTTTTTTTTTGTTCAATGTTTAGATGAAATATTTGATGTATTATTTGTAAACTTTTGTTTTATCATTTCGATTTCTAACAGCATTCCCTAGCAGTTATGCAACATTGTAACTTATGAAATGTATTCAAGCTTACTATATCATTTTGTGACAGCTGGATTTGAATTCAGATCTTCTGACTCTTTAAGGGTCATGCATTTTCTACAGCTCTGTGCTATTAATTCCACAGCGACTGAAGTATATACTTTTACTCTTAGGGCTGCAGAAAGCAAGTATCTTCTTAAAAGCTAGAGTTGTTCCTGACAATTGGAAAATGGATCTAAGTGAAATCCTGGAGTCATCCAGTAGTGATGATGAAGTCCCAGCTGAAGAAAATGATGAAGAAAAGGAAAAGGAAACCAAAAAGGAAGAAGAGGAGGTGGTAGGTACAGTTTTATGTTTATAACAAACAAACATTTTAATGTTCTCTAGTACGAATAATAACCTTTCATGTGTTTTCCCTCTGTTGAGAGTCTGTTTCAGTCCATTTTTGATTTGGAGGTTGAGCACGCTTCTTTGGCTCTTGGCTCAGTGTGTCAAGCAGGATTAATTTTCATTAGGAAGAAGTCACAGACAGGGCTGAGGATGGAGCTCATCAGCACTGGCCTCGCATGTGCAAGGTCCTGGGCTCAGCCCCTTCCCCAAAAAGGAGGCCAAAATTACAAAGAAGTGCTTTTCATCAGTCAGCAAATGTGAATCAGTATTTTAGGGTCTTTTCCAAATAACCCAGGCGGAAGGAAACGGAACTTTTAGGTATTTTTGTATGTGTTACTTATTTAAACCATTACTATATGAAGTAACTGTTAATATCCTACTTCAAAGATGAAGTAAGTGAGATTCAGAAAGGCAAAACAACTTTCCCAAGGTGACACAACTGAAAAGTCGAGAATGGATTTGAACCTAGGTCTCGTTTCTCTTAAATCCAAAGCCTTTTTTGAAGGTAAAAATTCCTGTCCAAACCTGAAGCAAATTTCACTTGATAAAACAGAAAAGATTTAGGTTGTATTTTTCTAAATGCAAATGGTTGTCTTTGTAATACTGCCATGTCATTTAAAATAAAATCATAAGAAATAATCCATGAAATAACCTATAATTGCTTACCTGAGTATTGTCTGTTTACTTGAGAGTGTTTAAAAATTTTTTGAGTATATTTTTGGTTTTTAGGGAGTTAGAGGTTTGGGGCAAAACAAAGAAAATGTACTGAGAAAGAGAACCTATTTGAGCATGAAAAATACTTGCATGGTAAATGTAAAATACTTGTTTCTCTTTTGCATATGCAAATGTGAATTTATGAAGAGACACAAGTGCACTTGTATGTAGCGAAGGGTAGATGCTATTTCTTGCCTTTTACTTCCCCTGCAGTATTTGGTTTTTTACACTCTGAAATCGGAATGGCGGTTCATACTTACAGGCTGCCTACAGAGTTGCCATAGTAACGTGCTGTTGGTTTTAAGTGAGCATGCTCGGAAAGACAGGAAGGTTTAGCAGAGGCTTGGCAGGTTGCCAGTGGAGGTTTGCCAGATGCTTTGAAATGGGCTGTCTTTCTTTTCCTTTCATGTAATGTCTGATTTTTATGTGGAAGAGAATGTAAGTAGTGCTGTAGAACCTTGCGGATGCTATGCCCTAAGAGGGGAAACAAATATTTGCAAGTCAGACTGAACAGTGTCCAGATCCTGTACTGATTAAGTAGAAGGGGAATCTAACCATTCTGCATCTGAAGGAAAATGCAGCACATAGGTAAGAATTTTTTTGTGTGTGTACTTAGTTACCATTTTGATTACCAAAGTGAGATTGAATAGGAATGTTAGGTACTGATGATGGGGCTTGTGCTCATAACCAAGTGTAATTGTTTCTTGTAAAAAAGACAGTAGGGATCTATTTTTAGATTATCAGAGGAGGAAGGCTTTCTTTTTTTTTTTTGAAGCATGACATAGATTTCAGAATGAAAATGATCATGGGACAGTTTGGCAAATTTGAGATTTAAAGGCTGAATATTAAATGTGATTTTTGTGTTTTATCTGTTTATTTATAGATTATGTATTTTCAGGGTAAATAGGCCACATATTTCAGGGTCTGAACTGTTGTATTCTGTGGTTTAGCTCTTGTTCTTTAAATTAACATTAGTTGGAACGTTATATTACCACATATTGGAAACAGATTAATCTATTTAATTTTGCTAATACTTTTAATTGGTGTCCCTTGCAGAAGGCATTTCCCTACCCTCTCTAAACCTTGATATTTTAAACAAAGAAGGGGAAAAGAGCTTTGTAGGAAGTTGCAGAGTGGCTATAAAACAGTAAATAGTGTTCCTGTTACAGGGATTAATTTTGTAATATTACAGTGTTTTATTCAAGCTGTGAGTAAATGTTAATAAAAAACAGAAGGAAGAGCAGAGGCAAAGCCCTGTTACCTATTGTTTGTAGGAAATAGTAAAGAAATTTTAAAGGGTAAAGACATAGGGATAATTATTGTCTAAAAATATGTCACTTAAATTATGAGCCTGTTAAAATTAAGTGGACCAGGATGCTTTTCATCTACTGAAAAATAACAGTAAAAATTGCAGAGTGTAAACACTGGTTTACATGATTATTTTAATTTATTTTTCATGTGGCCAGTTTCGCAGCATTTACTCTACTGAATTCCTTGATACAAACTAATTCCTCCTTTCCTCTGGCCACACAAGTAGGTTCCTTAAAAAGAAGCTGCATTTCTTGCTGTTGGATTTAAGATTTAGTTGCTGAATCATTCTAACTTGTTTTGATCAGTAATTTAAGAAAAAAACAAACTAATATATTGATAAACTGAAAAACATTTTAATCCATGTACAACAAAGAAATAAAAACGAGTACAGCATGAAATGAGTAATCTGATAAGCCAGGGCCTACCTGGCTTAGTCATTATGGGCCTTTGCCACAAAAGTGAGGCTCAGCTGTTGTGTTACTTTGCAGATCCCAAGTCTTCCCAAAATGTAATGAGGACAAGAGTTTTCAGGAAGATTTGTTGCTGCTTCGCAGTGATCAAAATGACCTTTTCTGATATTCTCTGAGCCACTGTGAAAATACTGCAGCCTGCCCTTGGACGTGTGTAGTAGAGCAGGCAGTTTCATGCAGTGGGATCATACAAGTGTTAGGCATCTCTGCAGTGGAAACTCCATCTGAGGCTTGGGGTATGCTACCCTAAAAGTAGCGTGGAGATTAGAGACTCTTCGGCTTTTTGTGCAGTAGGATCTTTTTTTTTTTTTTTTTAATATTTAATATTATTTTGAATTCTGAAACATTTGTTCAGAATACGACTACAAAAAATACATCACACACTTATGACTTGGGAACAGACGTGGAGCTGACAGAAAGTAGGCCTTATCTATATTAAGTATTTTAAATTTTGACTCATTGATACTTACATTGAAAAAAGCCCTGGAGAATATATTTGTGATATTACTGCAATGTCTTAGTTATGAAAAGTTCATGTTAGAAAATGAATTACTACTGCATTTTTAATTTATAAGGCGAGGTAAGCACAAGTAATGACATCAATTATTTTATTTCTTGTATGTATTTGCTCTGGATGAATGTAGAGAAGCTTTTAAAATAAATGGATGATTATTTAGGTTGACTGTCAAGGGAAATCTGACTGGTCTTAGCTTTATAAATCCTTATGTTTTGCTATACGACTTATGTATTGAGAACTTTTAAAAAATCCTATTTCATATTTAGTAATATAAATTAGGTTTAGTGAAATTTTTATAAAAACTGCTCCTTTTAGTTTAGAAGTATTGACATGTATTTTTCTAATCTTACAGTTTTTCTAGGGAATCACTGTAAAACTTGAATCCAAAGATGATATTTTACTATTGTAAAAATCATTAGTGTTGGACTTTTTTAATTCATAGAAACACATATATTGGGAATTGTTGCACACAACTGTAATCCCAGCACTCAGGAGGCTGAGGCAGGAGGCTCACTGGGAATTTGAGGTCAACCTGAACTACATAGCAAAACCCTGTCTCAAGCCAAAAAAAAAATAATTTTTGGTTTTTGATGTTAAGTCAAGTGCTATTTTCGCTTATTAATCTGTGCCTTTCTTTTAGATTGTAAAGTCATTGGTTAGTGATCTTTCAAGATCATTTGGATATAAAAACCTACAGTAGATAGTTGGTAATGCAGGAAAACCATGCTAAGTCAATAAAATTTAAGAAGACTTCAAGTGTAGTTTAAATATTTTAGTTATATCTGATGACTTCAATGCCAGTTAAGTTTCTGTGCAGATCCTGAAAAGTCAACCTTCAATAAACAACTGAGATCTTAGCTTGCATTCAAATATAACAATTTACTTTGTTCTTTCTTCCCCTTTTGCATTGCTGGGGATTTAACCCAGGGCCTTGCACATTTAGGCAAGTGGGTTACCAATGCCCTAGTAGCCCTAGGCCATCACTTGCTGAATTCATACAAGTTAACTTTTTTTTTTTTTTTTGGTACAGGGGATAGAACTTGAGACCTTGCGCTTGTGAGTCAGGCAGCGGTGGCACCTGAGCTAAATCCCTGCCCCAGGTTAACCTTTAAAGCAAACTTTTTCTTCACCATGTTAGCGTGAGACTTTAGTAAATTCATCTCGTTAGATTAATAAGGATTGTGCATTCATGCACATAAATACAGCTACATTTTTATGTATTTGAGTAACACTTCATATTAATATATTTTATAGTTGTGGTCTTATAGGTTAATACTGAAAGCTTGCATTTGATAGCACCCAAACCTTATCTGGATGATTAAAATGTGCATATTTTTCAAATGAGGGAAAATTACCCAGCTCTGTTAACTCTGTATGATAAAAGAGTCACATAATCATTAATTTTAGGAAGGGTGTTGTTAAATGTAAAACAGTGTCTGGCCACATTATGTGAAACTTTCTGTAAATGCATAACACAGAAGGATAGTAACAATCTGAATTTTATGATTACCAAATTTCACTAGGCCTTTGGTCGGTTCACAGCTTGTGTAATCAGATGTTATCCCTTCCATTAAACCAACAGCCTTAGCCCTGCTGTAGTCTGGCTTCAGCACCTGGTGGGGTCTTAGCCCTCTCTACTCTCTGTGTGGTTAGTGGTGCAGTGTCATCCTCTGTAAGACAGATCTTCTGCTCTCCCGTGGGTCTCATTCCCTTTTTTCTTTCAGGAAATCTGAGACTGTCAACTCTCCTTTTCTTTTTTGCATGTTTAAACCATTCCTGTCCATAGTGTGCATCTCTTCCACCCCACTTTTAGCAGTGCTGAGGATCACAACCAGGGGTGCTGCACCACTCAGCCATACCTTCAGCCCTTTTCATCTGTTTGAGACAGGATCTTGCCGAGCTGCCCAGACTGAACTAAACTTGTGGTTCTCCTGC